TATGTAATGTAGCTTATTTTTACTAGACTCTATCTCATCTCATGGGTACTATTACATAGGTGACAATGCTCGTACTTTTAATTTATATTATATGTAATTGAATATTTGTGTGTGAGTGTGCTTAATTGCTAACTAGGAGCATTTCATTTTTTTAGGTGTACTTGCATAAATTGTGTTACTAATGATGTAGTAATTTAGCCTATACTATGTATAATTAATTACTTATTCAGGTACACAATTAATTATGATAGATTTAATGTTTAATTGCTATTAGTTGGCAAAGTGCCACATTTATGAAATTGCCCCTTTCTTGTGAAAGTAAAGTGGGAATTCAATGATTAATATGTGTTTGAATGGTGATATGTTGTGTGTAATTGCTTTATTAGGTGTTTGTTGGTCTAGCAAACTTGTCTCAAACCTCAATTGATGCTTGTGGCTCTCGACTTGGGTTTGGGATACTTGAATGCATTTTAAATTTTGAAAATGTAGCCTTTTGCATTCGGGTGTCCAACTTTTAATCAAGTTATTATCTTAGTGTAAAACTAGTTTCACTAGCAAGGAAACTAAGTTAGTTTCGTGTGAACTCTTGAACCACTTTTTCTAGGATAGATTGGCACCCAAGATAAGGGTGAATTGGGTGATACTTAAAAATTTTTTGAAAACTTAAAAGAGTGAAGAACTTAAGTATGTAGGAAGAAGATGTGAATCACAAGATTTATACTAGTTTAGCCTCAAACTTGGCCTATATCCAGTTCTGAAGATCATACTTGAGATTTGCAACTAAATTCACAAGTTTCAATGAGTACTTGCCACCACAATACAACTCTCAAGATTAATTTGTCTTGAATCACTCAACAAACCTTACTACAATCCAACAAGTTATTGCAAACACTTGAAAAAAAATACCTTTTCAAGATTTCTGAAGAAAGAAATAAGCTTTTACAAAAAAACTCTCTTAAAGAGTATATAGAATTATAATTGAAAGTTTATAAAATTATGAGAGCTTTTTATAATTCTTTTCAAGAATAATGAATGAATTTAAGATTTAAAAAGCACAATTTGAAAGATTTTCAAATGCTCAAATAAAGATTAGTTCTCTTAAAGATCATTAGTTATTGTTCTGACTCAAAATGAATCACATATATAGTTTTGATAGTTGATAGATCGTTGAAACAATGATTCTATCCATTGGTTCAATTTCTTGCAAGCGACTGGCAGAATTATGCGTGCTTGGCTTGTTCTAGATATGTATATGTGATAAATCACATGTGAACTCTATAAACTCTCATGCATGTTTTTGCAATTATGAATAACTATTCAGTTCTATATGCCAAAACTCACATGGTACCTCTTTGCTCTCAAGCATGGTTTTGCACTTATGAATAAGCATTTAGTTCTGTGTGCTAAAACTCGCATGGTACCTTTTTGCTCTCATGTGTGATTTTGCACTTATGAATAAGCATTCATTTTTGTGTGCTAAAACTCGTGTGGTACCTCTCTACTCTCACATGTGGTTTTGCACTTATGAATAAGTATTCAGTTTTGTGTGCTAAATCACAAGTGGAACCTCTTTTCTCTCACAATGAAATGGCTAGCAGAATGTCAAAGCTAATTCTTGTGAACAAAACTCACATGGAACCAAAAGGCTATCATGCGTGAAATAGTAGGAAATTATGCATAAACTTGTCTGAATATATTTTCACACATGGAACAACATAAAACTCAAGCAAGATTTTGCATGATTAAGAGATATGGATTAGTGAATCAATGACCATATAAGTGAACAAACTAAACTTGGCTTGAAATGATTTAAGACTCAACAAAGCAAAATATGATTGTGCAATAAGTGACAAATCATGCATGGCTATCATCAGACTCACTCGTGAAACAATGCTTTGGCACAGTGTAATGAAGCAAAGTTGCTAAAACTTGCATAGACAACAATGGCTCTCACACGTGATTTTTCATGTAGGAGCAAAGCTTAAGACATCACATAACACAAGTGATAAATTATGCATGAATCACTTCCTGACTCTTGCGTGATTTAGCAATTAGTGTGCCAAACCTGTAGAGACCTATAGAATCACATGTGATTCTGCTCCTCACACTGTAATCAACTATCATGAATTTTAACACGTAAGAAAGACATTGTTTATAAGCTTTAATATACTTAGATAAGTCTTAATGCATATAAAAGTGACATATGATGCATTCATTTCAATGATTATGAAAAATGATTAAACTCTTAAAGTTTTTACATTAAATTTAAGAAAATTTAAAATAACTTATCCTAAGCATCTTCATCTTCCCTTGATTCTTCATGCTCTTAAGGTTTTGTTTTCATCCATAATTCTTTATATCTACACACATAACAGATACTTCTTCTCTTGATTTTATAATCATTAAAATATATGATCCAACAACTTTAATCAGATGTCAGACAAATCTTTGGTGCATTCCGGAAGATTGTCTCTAGAAGTTGTCATGACAGCATGCTGTCATGATACGTTGGGTGTGTCGCAGTAGAAAGTGTGATGTTTCACAACGAAAGGTTTTGTGTCAATTGGCCATAGCTAATAGGTGTTTTAGTCATGGTGCATATCAATTGTGTCATTCACTATGATGGATGTGACCTTTTTGAGGCAAATTATAGTTTTGCCCCATTTTTAAATATTTGCTTTTAAATTAGTTTGTATGCTTCCCTGTGATGTTAAACTCTGATTTTTAATTATATGTGGAGCTCAACTATGCACTTAAAAAAAATTTTAAGACCCCAATTTTAAAAATATTTTTAATTTATAATTTTTAATGTTTGGATTGATTATGTAATCTTTTAATAATATCAAAGTAAATATTGCATCAATCACATCAACAAGTAGTTGTAGAAGGGTTTTGAGGCTAGAAATTCCCTCCAATCGTTGTTGCATGACCCCTGCTCAAACCCACCATGGCTGTCGATTTCTCGTCATAGAGTCGAGTTAATGCTATTGACCTAATCAAACTCCAAGGTGCCCCTGCTATGATGTCACATCTAATTTCCTCTCTCAAGCCACTGACAAAATAGTACAGTATCACACCATCAAAAAATCTATCTACCTGGTTCACTAGAGCCGTGAACTAGATCTAATACTCATCTACGAACCCTTTTTGAGTCAGCTTAAGTAGCTGGGCCCTACGGCAATCATATTGTGAGGGCACAAATTGCGTCTCTACAGCCCTTGCAAGACAAGCCCATGTGGTTGTCTGATTAGCCTGGTGCAACACCTAAAACCGCAACACCACTAATCCATCCATGTGCACGATGACAATAGTGATATGCTTTGATCTGGAGTCTCATAATAATCAAATATTTTCTCCGCCTTAAATAGCTAGTTCAGTGGACCTGTCCCATTAAAACAAGGACTTAGGGAGAGGAGAAACATAGAGAGAGAACTCATAACGATATCGTCCACACCACTCCCAATTTGAGACCCCAACCTTACATACCCTTACTCTCATGCATTTTCCAGCCCTCGATGCGCACTCAGCCACTAAACGTAACGACTTGTAACTCATCGTCCCATTTGTGCACTATCTACCCTGTACCAATCATTGTGGGATCATTTGTACCCAAGGCATTTGTTTGATTTGCCCCCTGCATGCGTGGTATTACCAGTTCGCTACATAACCTCTTTTCCCTCGACTGTTGCAAAAGTCATTGGTTAATTCAACTTCATCCATGTTCAGGATTTGTTTTATCATCTCCTTTGCCTTTGGTTTATGACTTTTCTTTGAACTAGTTGTACTATTTGGCTCATTATGATAATGAATGCATATCTTTTGATGGTTTAAAAAAAAATAGAAGAATGTTACTAGATGATGCTCTGATCTTTTGAGAATGGAAAACAACTTCCTCCATCTTTCCGATGGCGAAACTAAGGCTTGGTTTGGATTGAGAGAAAAGTTAAAAGAAAATCAAGAGAAAGCCAGGAGGAGAATTTTCAAAAAATAATTTTTTTCCCCCTACTTTAAGGACTTTTTCCTCCTAGTTTTCTTTCTTCCTTATTTTTCTGTTTATCCAAATAAATGATAAATGTTGACAAAACTATGTCGTCCTGGAATAATCACGCAAGTTGTGGTGGTGTTATTTAGGATTGTCATGGTCAATGGATTGTTAGCTTCTCTAATTTTTAAGTTGTTGCAATGTTAAGGAGGCATAAGAATGGGCAGTTCTAAGAGAGCTTAATTTTATTAAAGAGGGTTTCACTCAAAGCATTTTAGAATCTTAGTTCATAATATTATATTCTACATCAGCTCACACAGGCTGTCGTTTGGTTCATTTTTCAAACCAGATGAACGTTAACTCTACAATGGCAAGTACAAATGCAATATGCTGGGCTAATGCCCTCTTGTGTACGTGTGTGGGTGTGCGTGGGTGTGCGTCTGTGTGTGTGTGTGTGTGTGTGTGTGTGAAGGAATAATTAGGAAGAAGCCATCTTATAAAAAATGTGGAAAACTTGACCGATTCACATTAATTGTCGTCTAATTTGCTTTACTTTGTTCCGAAGGCTGAGCAAGTACCTGCTGTCGTTTTGACAGATTCAAAATTGATTCTCCTACTCGAGATCAGTTTGCGATAACAAGGATAAGATGAGGTGCTAATTGCATTCACATTTCAAACTTCGGCCCCCCGAAAAAGACAATAAAAAAATGGTAAATATTATGGCCAATGAATCTATCTACCTTATAATATTATTACATTAAAAAGTTTAAAGAGAATTACCCCAAATCCCACGCAATATTTTAATTTGTGGCTTTCATCACAAGTCCATTGAGAACTTGAGTATACTAAATTAACAAACACGTTAGTTGTGGATTTGCTATATTAAAGTTATCAATATCAATTTTAGAGTGTAGTGGGATCTAAAAGTAATTCTTCCAAACGTTAAACTAATTTTGACAATAGTACAAAATACTTGAACAGACAATATTACAAAATATGACAGAAAATCACCTATAAATAAGAACAAAAGGGCTCAACTTCAAATTGGACTCTTCGGTGGTCCACAAAAATTACACATTCTGCAATCGGCAGTATTATTTAGAACATCAGAAGAATGTAAACACATTTGACGTTCCCATTCCCAGTAACTTTTCCCTCTTCCTAGTTCCTATACAAGTGCCTCTACATGATTAAAAACAACACTTTTACAAAGGTCTAGTTATTAAGGAGTTGACATATTAGCGGGTGAGTTACAAGCTTTTGATTATTTAACTGGATATAACTTGTAACTCACACCACACACAAACCATAACACTTTGAACTAGTAATAATACTTGTAACAAAAGAATTGTTACAAATATTACCAATTAAAAACAGGTTCTGCTAGCACTTTTTTCGCAACTTAAAATTCAATAAAGAAAACGGAGGAGGAAAACCTGCGACTTGCACACATACAAGAGTTATAACCCAAAAGTCATTTTCTGATAATGCGGCTTCATCAAGAAATGATACCTGCTGCATGTCTCATTCATCACATTAGAAGAGCCTTTGGTGCTGATGTGATGACCTTCAGAGGAAACATAAGAAGAAAATGTTCTCACCTGATCTGTGATATCTCTACCAGTAAATTGTGCAAGGCTTGAGGCTTTGAGAAAAAGGGAGCATGATCAGCACCTTTCAAGCGGAGGACCTTTTCAGGGGAATTCGCATTTATCATGTTCTTCTGAAGTGTAATCGACATGGCATTGTCATCAGGTGTTTCGATGTAAAAACGCCTCACAGATCCATATTTTGGGTCAGAAAGTGAAAGCTTTTCTAGAACAGGGGCAAATGGTATTGGCCTCATTGAGACAGATGCTAATGCAACATCCTGTATAGAGAACAAGGCATACACATAGCATGATAAGTCCACAAGATATGCCCAGTTTCTGCCGTTATGTCAGCTTTATAAGAACCTAACAGGCTAGAGTGTAGATCATGGACCAGCTTCTTTTCTGATAATGGTAAGAAAGAACAGTATAAAAAACATTCATAACCTTCCATAGTTTTTGTTAACAATTTATATTTCAGGTTTGAGATGTGGCTTGACTTTTAAAACATTTTTTGTCACAATTATTCTTCCTTCCCTGGCAGTAGAAATGCATATGCGAGCCTGTTTCTAAACTAACAAGCAAAATATGAAGCTAAAAACTCAGAATCAGAGGCATACTTCAAAATTTGCTTGCTAGCTTAGCCAAGATCTGTAGCCTTCTAATGGGGACTTGGATAGTATGAGATGTCTAAGTCCTACATTGAAAGATAGCTTTAGTGGAAAGAGTTCTCTATTCCACTTAGGCGCCCATCATCTTTCAACCTATCAATTTTTATGGGTAATACAGTTGCTTAAAATTCAGATAATTGCACTTTTCCACTAGCTGTCTGACATTTTCATGCGCTGCAATTCTCAATGTTATCGAAGGTTGAGGCTCAAATAGATCAACAATAATACATCATGCATGAACCACTTATTCATCAGAATCCAGTCACCCAATAGCAAAGAATAGGGTTGCCAGTCTTTCTAACTTTAGTAGTATCACTAATGTAGTGGAGATTGGCCAAACAACAGCATGAAAGGAGACTTCAATTTCTTTCTTTTACAAGAGATGGATGGGGTCTGGCACCCTTAGGATAATAATAATCATAAGAAATTTTCAACACTAAACGAGCCTTATACAGCCCAGTGCCCAGCAAGGCAAAACGTTGCTTAAATTACGCATGCTCTATTTGCAATAAATAAACCACCAAGCCTCTTCCCTCCCCACTGGAAGTTACTCGGATAATTCATTTTTTATTCTTATCGAAATCAGTATAGTGAAGAAAAACAGAAGATATTTTATTTCAATAGTATGACTTACTTTAGATGGACTTCGATTGAATAGCAAATCTTTCAATAATGACCTGTCTAGGTCTATAGAAGTAGGAGCGTGATCACTCCCATTTGCATACAAAAAAACCTGAGCCTGTCGCATGAGATCATTTGACCCTACCTGCAATAGAACGCTTCAATCAAAACATACTTAAATAAAAACACAAGAGTTATTTATTTATGAATAGTGCTGACTGTTGTGTTGAAGAGAAGAAAAAAATTATCCATCATGAAGCTCTCGTTGTCTTCCAAGCTCACTACAGTACTCTACGTTGCTGTGAATATGCTTTACATTCTCTCCAGAGAGCTGGGTGTGGAGACAATGAGGGGATTTTCTGGAAATTGCATTTTTATATGTTCATATAATTTGATTTTATGAAGAACTGTAGAATCCATTATCAAAATCACTTAATAGAATCAATGTCATATAACAATGCAAAATAAACTCATTAGTGTTTGCATGCCAGTTAAAAACCAATGTCATGACAAAGATAAATTAACAAACTGGATTGCTTTAGATGGATTCAAGTATAGATGTGTTAACAATAATCAGAATCATCAAAAGACGACCACCACAACTATTCCCCCTTCCTTTTCCAATTCTTCTTTTTTCTTTCATGCTCTGCATATATTTCATCAGAGATTATAAGATATCAGATCACATCACAGATGAAACTATATCGGTCTTGATCATAAACAGAAGAAATTGAAAACCTGTTGAGAGAAGGCATCAAAAGTACTTTGTCCACTAGTCGGCATTGCTGCAGCAAGAAAGACTGCTTTGGAAATCTTAAGAGGAAACAGCTCCATTGCATATGATATGCATGCCCCACCAATATCATGCCCAACCAAGATCACCTGTGTAAAAACCAAAAAGAAAGTAAGGAATAAATGGAGGGCGACAATCTCAAAACTGGTTTCTAACACCAAGTATAACATCACTAAATACTGTCGACAACAACATAATGTCAACACGACTGCAAGAAAGACATTTACATTTTTGCCTGAATTTCTGGCAGCAATTTAAATGGAATAAATGCAATATAGAGTCATTTTCTAAACATGATCAGAACAATCTTGGTTAAATTCATTCTACAAACTCATAGTAACATAGAGAAGACACCTCAGACAGATGCGGCAAGAAACTAACAATTATTAGCAATTTAGCAGAATAATTAGGTTTGAGGCATCTGGAATAACAGTTAACAGAACATGAAACCCTTTTCAGAATCACAAACTTAACTATAACTCTTACAAAGAGTAGTCATGAAGACATGAACATGGGGTTGGGGAAGATGTTAGAAATTAGGGGAGGGGCGAAATATGAATAAATCCCATTACCATAACAAGTGTTTGGCAACAACCCTCCATAGCTACATTTGATAAATTCCAACAAGAGACCGGATAATGGCCACAGGAAGATATACTAACATAAAACAAATTTTCAGTAATAAAAACTGGAGTAGTAAGATAAACACCTTCTCTCCTTCAGCAAGATTTTTGAAAATATCTGTAAGTGGTTTCACATATTGTGATAGACACGTAATCTTGTTTGTATCATATGAATGAACTCCAGAACCAGTTAAGTCAATGGCAGTCACTTTAAAACCGCCTTCTCCTAGAAGTGCTATAGTTTTGTACCAACACCATGCACCAAAGCCACCTCCATGGACAAGGACAAAATGATTGGTCTCAAGATCATCAAGCTTGATACCCTGCTAATTGAAAGTCTCTGTATAAGCTAAAAGAACCTAAGAAATGAAGATAGTGAAGAACATGGTAATTTTTCTATCCAAAAATAAAACAGAGAGAGAACATGGTAATTTAAAGAGATCTTATATTTGAACTAAAAAAATAATAAATGTTTGGCCATTCGCCTATCAACTTCTACAAGAAGATGACAAGTTCTGGTGATCTCAATGCAGTTATCTTATAATCAAACGGAAACCTTTAAATTCATTTTACGCCATGTAAACATTGTTCAAATGTACTTGTAACTAGAAGCAAATAATTGACAAAGGGCTGCTTTTGGGCAATACACAGAACACATTATCATTTAGTAGGTTTGACTTCATGAAGACAAGGGTGGGTGTTTATACATGCAGATACATTCACACGGTGAAAGGCAAGTTACTCGAGACAAAAACTAAGGAAGTAAATTTCAGAAGGCCGCTCTTACGTCGCTAGATAAACTGGAGGCACGAAGGTAGGAACCGCATATTAGTTTTAACCAAAAAAAAAAAAACAATGAGATTAGGTAACTCATTTACATCAACACCAGAATCAGAGAAGCTCTGAAGAAATTTTAATTTTTTAATAAATTAAAAAAAAAGAAAAGGTCAACAGTATTGAATTCATCTCTTTTTCAATGTCATTTTAGGAACCCTGTAATTTTTCGTGTTGAAAAAACAGAGGCAAAACAAGATTACCTTCAAAGCTACACCTAGCTTTTAGTAAAAAATACTTCAGAGGGTAAGCAGTGTAATATACAATCAAATATCAATACGCATACAAAACTTAAACTGCCCTTCAAAACTTAAATTCGAGTATGTAAATCATCATGCTACTATGCATAATATGCTAAAACGAGCCAGAAATTATTTTTCATGAGCAAATCAAACAAGTACAATCTCCACACAATCACCTCAGATATGTCTTCAATCACGGAAGATAATCGATCATAAGAAAGAAATCATCCCACAATTCCTTCTTATACTCTGTCAAGAACCGACCAAATTTTCTCGTAAACAATGAAAATCCACAAATGAATGCCAAAATACAAACCGCCCTTCACACCATGACCCAATTCGTCACCTAATTCACCAATTTCGGAACCAAGACATATGAAAAAAACCTGATGAACAAGTTGATGAGGCTGTAGCAAAGGATCAGTAAGAGACCGAGCCCTCGAACTCGAACTCCGTGGCAAAGTAACCTTCTTGGAGCCAGCATTCGGATGCCGAAGAGAAGTGGAGCGATCAAAGGAGGGCAGAGTACCATTCTGCTGATGCTGCTTTAAGAGGATAGCAGCGGCCAAAGCTTGCTCGTGAATCATAGCATCATCAAGGTCAAGCTTCTCCTTACGCGAAGAACGCGTTGCGCTCCATCGTTTGCTGAAATTCGAATGTGACGGCGCATGAGATTGACGCTTTGTGGGCTTCTTCTTGGCAGGCTCTTTAGCAAGCAGGGCACAGAGATTTCCCATAGCGGACGAAATGCACGTCAGAGAAAGAGATGAAGAATCGATGGGAAAGAAGGAAGATACGAAGAAGGAGAAGAAGGAAGCGAAGTTCAAATGCGATGAGAGAACATAACAGGAAAGGTTGGGACTTGAGAGAGAGATGACAGGCGAAACGCGGGGGAAGCTACATATACTTTATACGAATGCGAAACGTCAGCGACTGAAACAAAACTGAAAAGCGGAAATACGTGTATCGGGAAATTATTATAATTATTGTTTATCGTTGCCTTCGTCGTGCTTTATCAAATATTGGAAATTATCGGATTTAGCTTAGATTCTTTTCCTTACTTAAATTCAATGACTCAATAAATATTTTAATTATAATTATTAAATTTTATTAATATTTTAAAAATTCTTAAGATACATTTTACTTTAAAAATTTAAAAAAATATTTAAAATTAAAACACTCTTCACATATGTCATCTTCCTTAAAAATTTAACATTTGATATTATATTTCAGTATTATATATCAATCAAACAATTATTGTTATACTATATAAAATATTTATTGAGTGAATAAATTTAAGCCTTCATCACATTTTTTTATTTTAGTTTTTTGAGTGCAATTGTGCTTTCCTGGATATTATATCTCAATAAATAATAAAGAACTTATGAAATTTCAATTAATAAATTTAAGAATTGATCTATAAATTTATTATGTATTTTAAAAAAGTTGGTAAAGTTTATATAGTTTCTAAAAAAAATTTGGTACTAATTATATTTTAATAAAAGCACTTTCAAAAAATTTAAAATGCTAAGACAATAAATAAATTCATGGTCTTTTATTAGTTAAAGCATACTTTTTTGAGCAAAATGTATGTTTATTTAAAAAATTGAACTATTTAAACTAAATTGTACTATACTGATAATTTTAAGCTTATAAATAATAGAACAAAGAACTCATATGTTATATAAGTAATTCACTTTCTCTTGGCATGAAAGTAGTCATATAATATAAAATAAGTAAGAAGAGAATGGCTCTATTAGAAGAAAGATTTTTTTTATTAAAAGCAATCACATTTAAGATACAATCAAATAATAAATATGATCATCTTTCTCACCAGGAATTAGAACCTTCGTTCGTCAAGTTTTATTGTTTTTGTTGTTATTACAAGTTGCTACTACTACTATTTCTATTAAACTAAATTATTAATTAAAATTTCTTGTTTTGTGCTTCCTGCATCAATATGTTTGTAGTGTCAATATATATAGAATTATAAAAGTTGTTTATAGAATTTATAGAATAAAATGCTGTAAAAAAAATACCATATATAGTCATTATTTTATCATGAAAAATATTTTTAATATAACATTATTTTAAAGAAAGTATTAAATAGAATGCTGTTCCAATTTTAAATGATATTTTTTATGGATCGATTCACAATGAAATCGTTATTTTAATAGCACAATTATTACAAGAAGACTTTAATTATTTTAAAGTAAATGCTTATGTAATATCACGAATGCATGAATTCCCATTTTGAAATGCCGTGCTTCATTTTCTAAACATTTTAATTTAGCTGTACTTCTTTGAATATGATACCATTTCCAATATTCACTTAGAATCTTCATTTTCAAAGTAGGAAAGAAGACTACAATTGTCTACGTCCCTTCTCACTAACTACTGAAGATCATATATATATATATATATATATAGAACATTGCCAAAATATTAAAATCACGATTTTTTTTTTACAAAAGGAAACATTTTTAAATTAGTTATAAAATTTCAAACGTTAAAAAATTTACATTTTTGTTTTGAAATTTGCGAAATGTGTAGTTTTAAACTGTTAAAATGATGAATTAAAGGAATCAAAATAGTAGTTTGATTCTTTTTTGGCTATTGATTTGTTAAACACGTGGGATCCCTCGACTGAAGAAACTAATCAATCAATTGATGATTAATTAATAAAGTAACAAAGCATGAAGAACTCGCGGATCTTGAAGGTATCTTCATCCATTTTAAGAATACTCAAGTCATATCTCCTCATGACTTTGTGATGATCATGATTTTTCTTTTTATTGCATCAGATTTCTTTTTAATAGACTGTGTATATTGATTTATTAACATTTAATGAAAAAAATTACATACTTATTATTTTAAATAGAAAAATTTCAATAAAGACTTCTTGACAGCATTTATTTAAATTTAAAGTCCCTAAATTTTTGAAATTACACAACATTACAAGGGTACTAATTCAATATTAAATTTTTAATAAAAATAATAAAATTATCTCTTATTTAAATTAATATTAAAAATTCTATGTTTATAAGGGTTCTATTGCGGCGGATATACGCTTGCTGCTGTAGATGTATCTTTTAATGGTTGGCCACAGTGGATGGAGTTGTGTACTGTTGGTGGACTGACATTTAGTTGTGGTGGATGGAACCGTGCACCGTTGGCAGCAACGGATGTGTACTAAAGTGTTGTAATGGGTGTTTTGTCCTTGTTCATCCTATTCTCAATGTTAATTACTATTTTTCCATATTTTTGCATATCATTTATACTTTGATTTTTGAAAATATATTCGTGAAATACTTTTATGCTTTTCAAAGGAGTCATCGAGATCCTAACTTCAAAGTTTAGTTTTTTATAAATTTATATCTTGTATAGCCACGATTGATCTTTAATAATTAAGAGTTGCATGATTAGTTAAATTAAATTAGAGTTAATGATAAAGGTCATTACATGTCACGATGAATGGCTGTTTAGCCATGACAAATGACACAAAGAGTGTCAGCCACAGCACATGGTGCTGTTGGTCATGACGAATGACCATTGTACCATGACCCATGTAACATTTGGATTTTTAATTATTGGATTAATTAAAGTAAATGAGTTTGAATTAGTAAATTAATGAAATAATTAAATTATTGAGGTTTCGAGTTACTAATGGACCTAATAGATCATTTAGATAGCTTCTGGATGGGTTTATGGTGGTTATTCAGCTAACTAGGCCCCAGGTAAAGGCCTAAAATTTGAGTTCATGGGCTAAGCCATCTACTACTATAGATGCCATGTGTGCCATGGTAAATGGACGAAATTTTTAAATGCCCAGCCACGTTTTAGCTTGATAAAATAAAGAAGGAAATGGGAGAAGCAAAAATGCAAAGAAGATGAGGTTTGGGTACTTTAGGGCTTGCTAAAATCACTACATAGAGAAGATTTAAGTTTGAAAACACTAAGGTAAACCCTTCCCTTCCCTCTCTTTTCCCTATACTTGCATTTGATTATTTTTTTAGGAAGGGGGATAATGATTTTGCCTCTATAGGTTGTTTGGCTGAATCTATGGAGTTTGTTTAGGTAATTAGGAGTTAATTTAGAGTTATATACCTAAGGATGGTGGTTTTGGGTCCTAGGGTTTGGACGAACCTTAGCCTCAAAATTGAATATTGGGAGTAATGTAGGTTCAAAATTGCTGTCTAGCTTCATAGAAACTAAATGAAGTTAATCACTACTATAGAATTGGTGATACTTGACAATTATTTTTGTCTATATTTGACGCTTCATAACTGTTAAATAAGCTCCTATCATATTTTGGGGTGGCTATACTTGACGGTTATAGAACCATCAAATATTGGGCCTAAATATTTGATGGTTAGGGCCAATCATCATATATAGGTGCTTAGATTTAGCCAATAATTTAAGTTATAAAGGCATATTTAATGGTTAATATGTCCCTCTTATTTGACTGTTACTATCATAATCATCAAATAAGAGGAGGCATATTTGATGATTATATACCATAACTATCTAATATGCCTTTCCTTTTTAAAAAAATAAATTAGGGGCTGTGAGCATTACAAACAAACATAATACATCCGAATATTTGTTTTAATCTAGAATGCGTCCATAACACTACTAATACATAAATTAAAACTAATCGATCAAAAATATGTACAATAATTAATCTCAAACATATTACTAAATCCTTCAATAAATGTAATTTTAATTGAAATTACCCCTATGAATTTATCGCATGTTGAGCCAACAACTGCAATGAATCTTGACACCATTCCTTGATGACTTCATTGATACTAGCATCCTTGTATACTTTACGATAAGTGTTTGGATAGTACTGCATTATAAATAACCAAAGAAAAGTTTGTTGACAAATTTTAATATTATAGAATAATTGAACTTGAATGACATATAGTCAAAGGAATAACAATTTTCTAGTGGGTGATGATATCCTTAAGATATCTCATAAGACAATATTCATAGTCCAGGCTATTATTGTTTTGCTAGAAGCACTTTTAAAAAACCAATAAATATATATATATATATATATATATTAATGAATTAGAACTAATAAACATAATAAAGGCAATATCCAAGGGCAATACCTTAATTATGTTCTAACTATAGGCTTGATTGTATTCTTGCCTCTTGGAATATTGAGTTGCACTACCACAAGCCTAATAAACAAACAAAAAAAATTGATGTTTAGAAAACTGAAACAATAAAAAATTTATAAACTAATTAAGATGATTACTTATTAAACATTTCCATAATATCTTTTCAGATTACTTGGTAGCCTACTAGCAAAATACAAATAGTAAAACTTTAGGCATGTACCAACTAGCTAGATGGCAATTAGGATCTAATAGTTCCTAAGAGAATTTAAAAATATTATAAAATGAAATTCATGAAGTGAAATTAATTCGAGAAGTTCAAGTAATTGACTCTCACCTTTGCATATAAGGTGCCAAAAATGATAGTTCTTTTGAAGGTTCTTGTACCTTACCTTAAAATACTTGGACAAAGTAATTGATTAAGCTTCACGACTCTTGACAGATTGGTTGTGATGAGCAATAATGTCATAAGGATATATAAAGATGAACTTTGAGGCAAGGCTAGTAGGGACGATGAAATTTTTATAAAGGTACCTAACTAAAGAAATCAAATATGTCAACATATTTGTTATGAAATAAAAATTAGTCATGTGAAAAATAAGTACCTCATATGAAAGTAAATGACAATTTGGCTAATCTCCTCATGTGCAAGGGTAAGGCACACTTATCGAGGGTAGTCCAGCAACATATAGTGTGAACCAATAGTGTTAGTTAGGAATGAAAAAAAATTATGTATATACT